AGAGTGTAAATACTTACAGGCAATAATTTGTATTGTTTCATGGTGAAAGAAGTACATATCCGATTAAAAAGAAACCCTATTGAATGCAAACATTTGTCTTCTGTTTGCTTTTTACAAATGCTTTTACATTCATAAGGAGGAACAGATCCTTTAAAATACGAACCTGTTGTTCACTAGGATTCTTGGAAGGGCTTGTTAAATCAGCAGGTAGAAAGCTAGACATCTGGAATTACTGCACTTTTACCAGACGCTAGCTGATGCCCTGCCACCTGAGCTGCATGAAAAGATGCATCCCACGTATTTCTTTAGCGGTTAGCACAGCAGCCTGATTCTCCGTTGAACAGAGAGAACAAGCGAGCTCTCTGGCTTTGCACCTTTGCTTTCCAATCTCAAGTTTGCACCTTTCTATCCCATGCTGGTTAGGTTTCTTGCAGCAAATATGTGACGCACTGGAGTACAGTAGGCGGTTTACTTGTTTTCATGGAAGGACAATTTGTACTTAAAGCAGTGATTAGATGAATTCTTTCTTTCTTGCATGCTTCAGTTTTTGATGACTACTAGCTTCATCAGTGTAATTATAATTAGCACTCTTCATCTTCCTTTTACGGTACCAGCTGGACAGATTGGTCCTCTTACTGCACAGATTGGCGGCAGGGTTGCCTACATGGAGTTAGGTGACAGGCACCATGAAATAACAGATGGTAAATTCAGGGCTTGTTGGCAATCAGCAGGTTTTTGCTAATGACTTAATTAGCTATGCAAATTGTCAAATCAGTGTGAACATTGTTTTTATCGAAAACTTTACCTAAATTAATTACCATAATTAAGTAGCAGAATGTCAAGTATATTGGATGCGTAAAAGGGCTTGGCTGGCTATGGATAAGAGAGTTACCATCTTTATTAGAGTGCTGTGCTCCACATTTGAGAAGTCTGAGGATAAGAAATGCGGTTGCTTTTAAACTACTTTTAAAATACACATATTGCCAAGTTCCAACTGAGATGCACTCTGGTGCCTTTCCAAATAAAATGGCTCAGGAAAGAATTACTGGATAAAGGCTAAATATTTCAAGCAGGAGTTTAAGGCAGTTTCATAGCCTGCTTATTTGCTCAAAATCATACACATTTTTCAGTCTACCTGCTTTTCAGTTCTGGGGTTTCTGAGATCCAGAGCCATGAGCATGCGGCTAGAGAGATGTGTTACCGTTTTTCATTTAAATTAGAAATAAAGTGTAAGCCTGTCTCCTGGTTCCTACTATGCAGGAACTTTTAACTCTGTTGTTCAAATATCACAAAGTTAAGAGATACAAATTCTCTAACATAATTTTTTTAAGTTGATTTTTTCTCTCTCAAGGTTTCCATATAACAAATATTGGGTGCTGTTCACAGGATGTGATGGTGGTAGGAGAACCAACTCTGATGGGAGGCGAATTTGGGGATGAAGATGAAAGGCTTATCACTAGATTAGAGAATACACAATATGATGCAGCAAATGGCATGGATGATGAAGAAGATTTCAACAATTCACCTGCACTGGGAAATAACAGCCCATGGAACAGCAAACCCCCTGCTAACCAGGAGACTAAATCTGAAAACCCCACACCACAAGCTTCCCAATAGGTTATTCTGCAGCAGTACCCACTGCAATGTATGCCAGTGGGTTATTAATTACTGATTCACAGCATTCTTCAAAAAAAAAAAAAATTTAAAACTCCACCTTTCAACAGATACAGTATCTATTTCTAAACTAAAGTTATCCGAATTTTTTTAATTAGGGAAAATTCTTGTACAAGCTTCCATATACATTTCTTGGAAGCCTTCACATACAACACGATACTGGCACTGACCTTAATTAAAATAACTGAAAATTAAACAGCATCTCATGGCAAATTTCTGACTGCATTTTATTGGAAGGGTTTGGTTTTTTCCTCGTCAAACAATGGCCATATTTTAACAAGTCATCAGTGCTCAGGATCTCATTAACGTAACTATGTAAAACTTTTTACAATTGTAATATATTTTCTGCTTTTCAACTTGCACCTGAAATTTCTTGTTTCAGAAAAAAAAATCAGCTTTTAAGGAAAAGTAATTTAAAGTAACTTTTGTTCTTTCTTTAACTTTCATCGGTTAATCATTTAAAGGATCCAGCATTCTTAATTTACGTTTAGCTGATGCCAGTAGATACACTTTCCATCATTTAATAAAAATGCTGAAACAAGAAATGTCTTTTTTTCATCAAAGACATGAGAAATATTTTTATGTGGAAAAAGACACTCAGTCCTATGAGAGTTTATGCTTTGTAAAATTGCTGTCGATCCGGATATTTTAAAGCCATGTAATCCATTAACTTTGTGGGCAGCTTAATAAATCTAAAACTTTTGTGTTTTTATTATTGTATCTGAGTTGGCTTTGTTGTTATTTCTTTTCATAGTATATTTCTTGTATAATATTTTTGTAAAGCCCTCAAACCATTTTTTGTTTTACTTTTTTTTTTTTTTTTTGATTCTGGTGTATTTATGTGAAACTTTATAAAAGAAACTAATTTTTTCATCTACATATTAATATGTTCAACTCATCATGTAAAGACACAGTGAGTCAGTGTGTTATATAATACAACTGTATTTTATGTATGCTTTGCCAATAAGTGTGCCAATAAACTGTGTTAACAAATGTGCTCTTATATAGTGCATTTACAGTTCCTTGCATGCAAAAGATACATGTCCATGTGCAGGATCATGCACCAGGAATTTTTTGAATTAGTGTTTCACTGAATTACAATCTTTTTCCAGCAAAAAGGGAAGTCTGTAGTTTAGGTGTGGATCACCTACAGCTCAATTTGGTTAGGTGCTCTGTTTTTAACATTAATGATGTGTAACACCACAGGTCAGTAACAGCGGTGAAAGCAAAGCATGAGGGAGTGCAGGGCATCCAGCAAGCCACCTCCATCCTGAACTTTGCAACCCTCGCCTTCCAGGGCTGGGGCTTATCAGGGCAGGGATTTCCACTCTGCTGAATTCTGTCTGATAGTTTTACGATGAGTCCCTCAACTGGGGCTGAGAGGATTAAAATAATTCTCCTTGTTTCTTCCCTTTGCTATCAAATCAATTGTTCACGGGAGCAAACCTCTGGCCTAGTGCAGCCGCTCTGAACACAGCCCCTCACCTGAGCTGGGAGGCACAGAGGCACATGCCTGCATCTTGAGGCAGTATTTGCAGGTGGCAAAGACTTACAGGGAGAATTGCCAACACAGAGATACTGAATCTACATGATCCTGCCTTTTGTGCAGGGCAGTGATGTTTTGCTCTTGACTGAAACTGTACTTTCAATATTACTGACATTATGAAAGCATCCGAAGAACTCCTGATTTTTTCTATGTGTACCCAGAAGCCACTCTAGGGAAGTGTCTCCCAAGCGTATATACATATTTTTTAAGCATGCTTTTTCTGGATGTGATTCCACCAAATAGTTTTGAAACCACCATTGCAGAAGAAACACAGGGCAAAACACCCTGTGTTGCCCAAGTGGGAGACAGCTCTCTCCCTGCCCAAAGGACAAACCTCAGCCTCTGATGTGGGTACCATTCTCTTGCAACCAAAATCCTCGTTTGATGAATTTTGGCACCTATGGTAGACGTCACAGGAAGATAGCCTACAAGACACTCCAGATTACTGTAGGTTCTAGAGGACAAAGGATATCAACTGCAGAGCAGAACTTAAAACTAAATAACAAATGCGGACTGAGTGTATCTGCATAGATAGCAATGCTGCTCCTTCATAACACTTGCAGGACGTAGGAAACAGCGGGTCTATCATCCAGTGATTATATCAGCCCTGATTTTTCCATGTAAATAATTAAATTCACAATGTATTCCATTAAGGGATCACTGGCTCCTATATAGCTGCTATAACATTACAATTATACACTGTAATTCTAATGTTCAAAAACACTAATCATTCGTATTACATTTCCATGAGCACACTCTGAAAGGCGTTCCTTATTATTAATCTTTCAAGACTGGCACCAGTATTTCAATTTTCAAAAGATTTATGATGTCATACTACTCCTGTTGTTTCAGTAAATAAACATAGGAACACTTGAAAAATGGGTAACAGACTCCTTAGAGCGCTGTCCTTGAATTAATCTGGAAGGACACTTTCTCCATATCTCCTCAAAACCCATGTCTACGAGCTATCAATCCACCCTATTGTGGTTAGGGTGAATAACAGACGGAGCTAGCTGATTTTATTTATTCACTTATTTATTCATAAAAGAAAATGTCCAAATGGGCCGCCCAGTGCAGCGGTTTGAGATGCACAGCAGCTGAGCACGCAGTCTCATCATTGCTACTTCCTTCACCCCCAGCAGCCCTGGGCTGCTACATGGGTTTTTCTTACCATGTTTCCAATGACACAGTAAACTCGTTAAGTTGGAGCCTGTGATCCCATGTCTTCCCATGTGCTTGTGCCCTGTCCTGGGGAACACTCCCCACAGGCAGAGAATTAAGGTACAGCAATGACATTAACTACTGGATTTGATGTGTTTCAGTTGTGGGTTGCAGTGAAATGACACAGCAGCTTTTGTGTGCTCTGTGGCCACCTGATGTAGAGATGTGGGAAGGGTGAATAAAGATCACAGGTGAGTAGAAGTAACACATTCACGAGAGCTGAGGTTGCTGCCAACCAACAATTAATTTCACTGTAATCTAATCTCACCACCTACAAGAACATTGTATCTCTCTTAGAATTTGGAAGGAAATAATGTTGTTGACACTTTCCTGTGAGGAGCCCTGCAATTATTAAAAGGAGGAAGGAAACTTATCTCATGATGCTGAAATACTTTCAAAGAGAAAGCTCTTGTTTGTTTTAGCTAAATGGAGGGAAATGCTGGTCTTGAGAAGCGCCCTCACAAATCAGAGGGAGGAAATTCCAGGAGTTTACTTAGAAAAGCAGAATCATATAATTAGTAAAGTGACAGAGTAAGAACACTGATAACTAAGCTGGTTGCTGTTACAAAGGACTTTGAACATTCAAGAATCGTAAGAACTGATGGGGTTTTGTTATTCTTTGAATTGCTTTGTTTGAGGATTTCTTTAATATTTTTTTTTGGTCTTGGGTCAGCAAAGTCCACTTCTCAGGGAGCTTCCAACTCAGATGAGTCATCAGCGGGTCTCACCAGCTGCCCCTCATGAGACCATTTCAGTTCTTACAGCTCCTTCTTTCTCCCTTCTCACAACAAGCAAAAATAAGCAATATTTGCAGCTTTGTGGTCTCTTCAGAAAGAAGGTGTCCTCAGGTTTCCTCATCTGTGCACTGGTGTGTATGAATGTAATAATCTTGTAGGATAATTCCATTTGGAAGGGACCTTGGTAGGTATAGCTAGTATTTGTATGCTTGCAGCATCATAGGGCTCTGTGAAAGTCATAAGCAACTCATTTTCAACCTTGATCGTGGAGAAGGTACTACTCTCGCACGTTGGGGAAGTGTAACCAACTTGCGTCAGTGGGGAACAGAGCAAAAGTTCCCATTACCAGAAAGCTGCCAAGGAGAATCAGTCTTGAAGTGTGAAGAAAGGGATGGGGGGTAGAGGAGAAGGAAACTACTGAATGGAAAGGCAAAATACGGAGCGTTACTGGGTGGTGCCAAATGCCAGGGTGGAGAGAGGTCCCTTACCCAGCCTTTGCTGCAAATCGCCATTAAAGGAACCTAAATGATAGAACAACCATAAGAACAGACTAAATTTTGCAATTTCATGGCCTCCATGAAAATAGTATTTTAGCAAAGACAGGATGAAAGAGAAAACATTAATGATTGATATTGAAGGAAACTCAGTTTGTGCCTAATATATCCTGGAGAAACTGCTAATGGAAATTGAATAGTCCTGAAAATATTTCCTGAGACTGCAACTCTGATCAAGTAGCCCTATGGTGATATATTGCACGTCCAAATTAAAGCTGCCCTGGGGCACAAGTAACCCCAGCAGCTGGTTTTACTGTGTAGGACTGGATGATTTGTATGTTTTTTCTAGCTTTTCGACAGCATATTTTTATACAAGGCTAAGGCCTGAATCTTCTACTATGTAAGAGGAGCTGCTGAATATTTAACATCCCATAGAACTGATGTTACTCTAGGATATCATTATGCTTCTATTAGGTGGTACCTCAGCACTGCAGAATGGCAGATGGTACCTTTAGATAAAGAGTTACTTATGGAAATCTCTAAATTTATGGACCATGCTGCTATGTTTCATGAGAAAATATTAATTTCCACTGAATTTCACAGTATTAAAATCTGTTCTAATTTAGCATGTTATTTTGACAGCAACTAGTAGCAGTTCTTTCAAAGGGAAAGGCTTTATTAGGAACAGTGATGGAGCAATCTAACTGTAGCAGCATTTCTTCCATGACCCTGTGAGTCACTTTTGAAATAAAAGAACTATATCCCTTACATTAAGAAATAATTGTAATGGGTCTATGGGCAGTCTTAATCCATAAGCACATTTTAAAACACCATTATGCACTAAAGATGACATCAGAGAATAATATATTTGTGCATACAGAATCAAAAACTGTATAAACAATATCCAGACACAACAGAGCTCAAACAGTCCAGCTCCCCAAGAAACTCCTGATTGTGCTTCCATCAACTTTACAAGGAGCAGGATGAGATTTTTAAGCTTCTGTTAGGGTAAGTTACTGAATGCATCTCTGAGAACTCAGGTGCTGAATGCCATTATTGTACATTAGCAGGGGAATGTGCTTCAGGTGAACCCAGATAAATGCCCACCCAGTGTGCCTCCATGCCTGTTGGACACGCAAATTTAGCATACTTTAGGTCTGTGCTCGAAGCTGGAGAGCAAAATTCATCAGGTTGTTTTTCTTTTCTTTCTGTGTGTGGTTGTGGAGATTTTATGATGGTGGGGATTATTTGGGGGGGGTGGGGGGTGTTGTGTTGTGAGTTTTTTTAACTTGTGCAGTACTCTATGATACAAATGCTTCTCAGGTGTCCAGGATCTCACCAGC